ATAATAAAGGGATGGAATCATGGTATATTATTTTTTTTTATAAAGCAAAAGAGGGGGTACAAGAGTTGGCGTAAGTTGGGGGGCTTGAGAATTATAAAAAAAAAAAAGAAAAGCGTTAAAAAAAAAAAGAGAAGGATTTTATAGAAAATTTTTGATGAAAAAAAAAAAAAAAGAAAAGAAAAGAAAGGGCAAAAATATCTAGAAATAAAAAAAAAAAAAAAAAAAAAAAAAAAAAAGAGGTAAAGAAAAAAAAAAGGGAGAGGGAAAAAATGATTCAGGGAGCGAAGAGAAGGAACGAACGATGCCTAGCTACAAAGTAATAGCAATATAGCATCAGCTAGAGAAAGATAAGTAGAGACTAGAGAGCGACTTAAACAGTTTAAAAAAGTGAAAGGAAGAAAGAAAGAAGGGAGGCGTGGCCGCGTGTGTGTTTGAGACGTTCAATTCGCCCATGTCAACATCCCTTAACAGCGGTCCATGGTTCCGAGGGAGGACACAGGAGTGGATAGTTCAGGGGAGAAGGCCCTGGAGAGGTGGGGGCGTGATACGGACAGTGGAGCAGGTTTGCGAATATTCGGGGAAAGACTTTAGGTTGGACGGAGTTTGCTAGAGCCTAGGGACTCAGGGAGCCACTGCGCCAGAGCTAAGCCTCCGCCACTCTACTTGATCTAGCCCGCGAAATCCTTGCCTAATTGGGTCTAGTATTAAACCTTCACCGGGCTAGTTTATTACCGAGTTGTACTCCGTACTCCGTAGGAGCATGGAAGGCCTTGAAATTACGTACCTTACGCGTGGAGTATCTGGTAGGATAAGTAAGGTAGGTATGGATGTTAAGAAGTTGGCGCCAATGAAACTGACGGAGTGACAAGGTTCGTCTTTGAAACTAAGCCACTTTTGCTGATAGTTCATCTGCATCTGCTTTCTTCATTAGCCGCTCGTCGAGACTCAAGAAGGATAACTAAGCGGGATTGGCGCAGTCCAAAGCCAATGGGTAGTATGGAAAAGAGCATTGAGAAGAGCATTGAGCATTCCTTTCTTCTACAGAAACTTAAATGACGATTGCCGCTTTTCAATGCAATATCTAGAAGATGATTATATCCTTATTTTTTTTGGGGGGGGGAGGGGTCTACACCACATGATTATCTCTACTCTGGAACTTTAATGTTTTCTTTACAAGGATGATTGCATTTGTTGGAATATCATTTCCGTGTGGGTTACTTCTTATGCCTTGGCTGTGTGTATAGATAGGACCAATAAATGATGTGTCTGATGATAATGCAAAGCCGCTGGGGATACTCCGTGGAAGTGACCACCTCAGATCTTCCATTGGCTTGTTAAACCTGGAAGTAATGTCGTTCCTCGTACTCGTATCGCCGCTTGTGCATTGTGTAGCGGCATACGGAGTATACCTTATGGAGATATTTAGAGTTAATATAGGTCCACCATGAATCCATCCTGATCAGCTCAACCAAAAAAAGGCTCATTGTATGTATGGAAATTTGAAGGTCACTGATTTCAAGGATCGATTCCTCGATTTGAGCCAGTCGCTCCGATATCAACTATCTTGGCTGTTGAAGAAAAGGATTCTGTACCACACCATAAAAGCCAGCTGTCAGCCTGTCACTAGGGACGAACTGCGAGGCCTCGGAGTATCCAAGCTCCCAAAATACATGCCAATTGATCACCTAGATATGATTGTTGAGGGAGCTGTTTCGTACCTAAGGTTGTTTCAAGTTTCATCAGGATGGAGTTTCCATGTATGGCTGGCGTAAGGTGTAATATTACGACCTACTGTGGCTTGGACATTACCACCTTACCTAGATAGGTACCGAGCACTAAGCCTGGAACGGGCCAAGGAGTACGTATGCAGTCCGAGGCACTGCCCCAAAACCACAGAAGATACGGAACACAGTACGGAGCACTGTAACTCCGTACTCCGTACCTACTGCATATCTGACGATTGACGAAGGTTTGCCTCTATATCGGCTGCGGCGCAGCAAGATTTCGACAGCACATCTCGTCGCAGTTCACACATCCTTATTGAATTCAATCTATGACCTAATTTGCTCCTGCTTCCATCAAACTTAGGATCCCCTTATGCGGCCATGTCTTCTCATCATGCTCTTGTCAGGTGGCGTTGACCGCGTAACACTTCCAAGCAAATCCCCAACAATAGGCAACAACGATTCCAGAGATTGTTTCAACAGAGAACCGTCCCATTGTCGAAATCCCAAACATCGCCACACAAGAGAAAACTCACCATCATCCGCCTTGCGATCCTAGGCTTGAAGGGATGCTGAGCCTTGGTTGAGAAGGAAGTTCAAACCCCGGCTCCGAGCGTCGGCCAAGGCTTCCAAATCAGTACCAGCAAATGAAGGCAAGAATCCGTTCTGTTAGACGGTTACACATCTAGATAACGCACAGAAAGGAACTGTCAGAAGACTCCAATGAGTGGATTTAAGGTGAGGTTAGTGGTATAATCCAGCTGAATGATGCAGTGGCTTGCATCTGCTCTTTGCTCAAGTCGACCAGACTTCAACCTCCAGACATGCAGCCATCTACCCCTACCAGACACAATTCACAAGAGTCACAAGGCATCTCACTCCATAATCCTACCTTGGTGCGCTCAAACTGTAAAGAATCAAAGTATCATGATCACATCCCCCTCTACCAAAGACAAAAAAAAGAGAGAAAATCAAAGTTCAATGTCCATGAGATGACCGCCCCCCACAAATCGAACAAACCAATCAACATTCTCACACTCTGAGGGGAAACCACCTAAATGGCTGCAAAACTCGTGGCATCCAAAGGCTTGGCCATGTAGATCTGCTTTTCATTGGGCGAAATGCATGCAATAGGTGAAATTCACTGGAAGACTCAATGTGGGTCACTTATCTACCATAATGTTCCTTGCCCAGATAGGCATTTTAGATGGTACTATGTTATGCAGAGAACCTCTTCTTCTCCTTCTAGTGATCATTTCATCATCATTATTATAAGACGTGTTCACCAGACCATTTAATAATGTCTGGTGTGATCATCAACGTGCAGCTGGTTATTAAGCCCCCGACATCAGATGATGTAGTCACATTCTACTAAAGTGGATCACGCACATATGGAATGGTCTTTAGCGACTGATCACTACCTAATCATGAAGGTGGATGTCTGACAAAGTAGCACTGCAGCCCGATAAGCGCGCAGTCCTCCAGTGTACTAACTACTGGCCGATATCGACTATTGATAAGGAAATGAGCAACCGAAGTCATGGCTTGTCGTAAGTCAAGTATTAGGTAGGAGCCGAGGGCCTGAGGCAGATGCAGGAGCTGATCTTCGTTGGATTTTTGCCTACAGCTTCAGAGTGCTGCTTTACAAGTCTTTATCCTAAGCTCTGTCTCTATTCATATCTAGAAGTGTCTATTCGTCAAAGCAGTATGTAATGGAAGAAATCCCCATATGTCCTTCATCAACCATTACAGCCAGAATGTCGTGCCGCATCAATGATGGTAGTCCACACGATACGCAAGACCATTTAAACACTGCCTATACTGACCACCACATGAGTTTTCATACAGCGGGACGATCATAGTGCGGAATTCCCCCATGTCTTGAGCCAGCTCGACCAATTGCAACATGTGCGGTGCACCTCGTCCTCGTCTTTTCACCAAAGTGTGCTGCTTGCTTGCCGTCGGGGGCCCTGATATGCCGTGATCTCTAATTATCAACACTGGACAGTATCCCAAACAGATGACTTCTTGCAAGCAAATCCGTCGGAGCTTGGAGCACTGAATCCAGCCACAGCTACCGCAGTATTGCTAAGCCGATTCCTGCTCAGGTGATCATTATACCTATAGGATGTCGCCGCGCTGGATGCGCTGCTACTGCGAGTGATCATCTCGCCCTGAACCTTGGGGCGCTGAAAAGAAGTTGCCAAATACGTGAACGACTCATCGGACCTCAGGCGCCGCGGCGGCGGCAAAATTGCGGTTTACATTAGCCGTATCTGTTCTTTGTGCCTCCCCAGCTCTTGTTCTCGGATCAAAAATTCGCCTCCACCATTGTGGCGGATCTAAGGGGCGATGGCCGCCGTGAAGCGACGGGTAGACGTCATTGAAGAAGTACCAGATGTGGCCGACAACAATGCCACAAATCTCGTCCTTGGGTACAATGCCGTGCACAACCAAGCTGAAGGCCATCAGAACCCAGGGAAGATATGGCGCAGTGAAGACCAAAATGCCAAGGAAACTGAGTCGAGTGTCTGGGTTGCGGCGACTCCAAATGTACACCAAGCTGGAGGAGAGGGCGGTGCCTAGGAAGGGAAGAGAGAGAAATGGCGAAATGAGGAGGAGAGAGGTCATCGCGTAGAATAAAAGCCATGAAAAATGAGCGGGAGATCGACCGGAAGATTCTTCGAGGAGTCGCGAGTACCGCTGAAGGAAAAAGACATGGAAGAGTAGATCGAGACTTAATGGACCGAAGTAGAGAAACGTTGTGAGAAGCCGCCAGTACTGCCATTACAGTCAGCCTTGCTCCTGCTCAAATAAGGGCTCCCTGTAGAGCTGGAGTTTCTCACAACGTACCTGAGACTTGACGTAAACTGCGCGGAAGCTGTAGAACAGTTGAAATGGTGTCAGGATATGACATTGCACCAATACTGAAGTAGCCACGGTCGCAACAGTCCACCATCGAGTAACTGGAGGCATTTCATAGAACCATTGCTCCAAGGGGAACTGCCCGCCCTGTCCACCATTTCCCCAGATGGCGGCCATTACGTCGGAGCTAGAGCAATAAGGAAGAGCGGAGAACTGGTTGAGCTTGGTTAAGGGAGTGATCGATAGTGATATGAAGAGCTGAGCGACAATCAATGTCCTAGTGAAGGGCACAGGCAGTATGATCGAATAATGTACAAAAGGCACATGTGATATTGGACAGCCTGTCAAACTGGATAAATATCACGGCAAGCATGAGAGCTCCAGGTGGCCTTTTCTCCACCCCCGAACAAACGTCAATCGGGGGGATTTGCTTACGGGTTGCTTACTTGGCCGATAGTTACGGAGTACATATTGCATAATCGATAAGCAATTCGAGTACTTATCATCACGTGCTAATCAAGCGCGCGCTTCGGGTAAGGACGCGCTACGCGTCCAATAATTCGAATGGCTGGGAACAAAGACTACCGGGCGCATACTGAAAGAGACAGTGGAGACATGGAGTAATTGAGGGATCACCAACCACCCCAATTCCATCCCAACAGTCCTCTTCTGTTTGAAGAAGATTATCTCGAGATAGAGGGGTCCATGCCAAGTGTTCCTCGGGTGGAATTGGTTCGATGTCAGGCCAAATGCACAATTCTATCTAAATTAGGATCAAAACAAACCAAAACAAAACAAACTACTTCTTGTGCTCGCGCGATCACCCGTCATCAGACAGAACACAGCGAATTTGCAGAAGGCACATAATCGCGCAACCGAACGGATCTCTTCAACGGTCTTATTCGCGCGAAGATACGCCCTCAATCGCCCTCTCGAGTAACGTTTCTCGCGTAACACCGAACGCCCATTGTTCACCATGCCGCCGAAGACAGGACGAGGCCGTAAAGCGACTGGGGTTCCTCGAACACAACCTCGAGATGACGGAGGTGCAGGTCCATCTAATGCTGCTGCTACTGCATCACCTTCGACTCGGGGACGGCGCAAGTCCCGCGGAGGAACAAGGGGGGGCAAGCGACCAGCCGGCGCACCGAAGCCGTCAGACGTCCAACGTATGTACATACATGATCCTTACGCAGACAGCGTATCCAACCCTTTGCAATAGCATTATCGCTAATACCGTACTAGCTGGGGACCCAACCCCTCAAGGTCGCCGACACCGGTACAGGCCGGGAACCGTCGCATTGAAAGAGATCCGCAAATACCAGCGCTCATATGACCTCCTTATTCAGAAGCTACCGTTTGCGCGACTCGTACGCGAGGTCGCATTGGAACTTCTCCCCGCTGAAGTAGGCGCGGAGTTACGGTGGCAGTCACAAGCAATTCAGGCGCTTCAGGAGGCCGCAGAAGCTTTCCTCGTCCATCTTTTCGAGGATACTAATCTCTGTGCTTTACATGCTAAGCGTGTAACGATTATGCAGAAAGATATTCAGCTTGCCCGAAGAATACGCGGCGTCTGGGGTGGTCTGGGTTGATGTCGAGCATCCAGATTGCAACATAGTGGCGTTTTGTGAGGAAAGAAATATCAGGAAAATACAAGAAATCTTTCAAAGGAGGAATCAGATGCAAAGGGGCGATGGCATCAATATCGATTATTGCACGCAGAAAGTCGACTTGTTCCGTGATCTTCGATTCTCGTTCGAGCTTTTTACTGTTATATCATGGTGCGATTCAACCTGACTTTGTGTGGTGTAAGGTACATGTTGCAGGCGTATGGAGAGTTGTGGGGTCATATTCAGGATATGGGTTTCTATCTGGTTCGCGTCAGCCGTTACATTGAGATTGTTTGTGCTATGGCCAAAGAGCCTTCGTGGAGTTCGATGCGTGTATATTTAAGTAGTTGTCTTGCCCGCAAGGTTGAATAGTGGATGCTATGAAGTCGGCTTATCCAGCTAGTGTGCACTTCAATTCCGTCAAGGAAAGTGCAAATTATCTTTATCTGGAAACTTACTAGGATTATGCGATGAGTTTTCTGAGCAAATCGCGTTCAATTTCATCAGGTGTCGCAAGGGAATGACCGCGATCTGCATGTTCATAGCAGGTTTCCATGCTCATATAGCAAATGCTGTAGCAAGAACTTGTTGTATCAATATGTCGGCTCCCATTTATGTATCCCAGATGCGCCAGCCATGTCCCATGTACGCAAAGATCATCACAATTGGCCATGAAGTGGTATCACAGAACAGAAGCCTAGCAAAATTGCCTTGGACAGAACCGTAGAAACGAAAATAAAAAGAAATAAGAACGAAGGTATGGAGAGAAGAAGATGGATTCACAGAGGTCGTTTCAGAGCTGACGGCAATCCGGTCATCACGCGGTGGCCCTCATCGCGAACTCCCTTTGCCTCTTCACTTTTCCCTTGCCTCTCCAGTGTCTCTGCCAGTATTTCATCAGTGACGCTGACCCAGAGTCGGTCATTGGCCTTCTTTGCCATTGCCCGGCCTGCACGAGCGCTCTTCTCAGATTGCTCTCCGACCACGCCGCGGAAATACTTCCAGCTCATGAACGTCAGGGTCATGCAGGTGATTTGACTGTTGCTGATTGCCGTGGCAGATTGGAGAGCCTGCTGAAGATACTGCTTGGTCTGAATAGTCGACTCTGTTTGCACAGTTGCACATACAAGGTAATAAGCCGCCTGGATATACTTGTTCGGGCTACCCTTACAGAATGACTCGACGAGGGACAAAGCGCTGGGAAGATCGGAGTGAGACGGATGATCGGGGTCACGGAGTATGAGAATCGTATTTAAGGCGGCAAGGATGGCGATGTCACGACGAGGATCATTTCGTGCAGTCTTACTGGTGGTTGACGCCATCGAGAGGAGAGGGGACTGGAAAATAGAAAGGGCAGCCTTCAGATCGCCAGTCGCCTGCGCCAGTGCGCCCGTTGCATACTCCATCAAGCACTGAATGGTATCAGGGAGCTGATCCCCGAGTTCCTCGGCAATGGGACGTAGCTCCTTTAGTGTCTGATTCGCCAGATCCCAATCTGTACGACCACAGGCAAGAAAAACCTGCTGAAGAAGAAGATTGCAATACAGAATCCTTCGCCAATCAACGCGTCTATTCGCACTGACCATTGACTCGGCAACTTCTTGTGGTGCTTTGAAGCTTCCTGCGGACCCCCATTAGAAATCTTTGGAACCATAGAACGAAATAGGACCTACCCTTAATCATTCGTATCCCTTCCTGGAGGAATTTCTCAGCCTTACGACCATCATAAGAGTTCCTTGAGCTGAGTGTAATCGAGCTAAGGAAATAGCAGAGCGCATAGAGATCGTGCTGGGGAAGCCAATTGAAACTCAACAGCAGCGTCCCGTTTTGCACTTGCAGGATATCGCCTGTATCAATGGAGGAGGGTCCAGCTGATCTTCCGCTCAAAGGAATTGAAAAAGAGCCATCAGCACGCCAATTCGGATCATTCAATCTTTCATCCATCAAATCTTGCATGACCTTCAATTTTTGTGATGACTGGTTCACGTCGTATTCAAGGAGACTGCAACAAATATCAACCATTTGAACCAGAGTCGAGAGCTGCGGTATATGGCGGAGCTCATCATTGAGTTGATGGCTTCTTGCTACTGCAACCGCACGCTGAGCCTGTTCAATTGCATCGGAGCTCGTTCCATGTTGCAGATGAGCAAGTGCTTCAATCACGGCCGACATAGCCGCAACAGCTTTGTCACCTTGTCGGTTAGCCATATTGGAGATCTTATGCAGGTGTTGCAGCGCAGAGACCGAATCCTGATGTGCCGATGCTGATAACGAAAGTGACACCCGAAGAAATCGAAAAGCATACTCCCAAGCCGAATGGCGATATCTGCGACTGTTAGAAGCAAGATGTGTGGAATATAATGTTACCACTTACGCTTCAACATCCTGTATCATACCATCGACCGCTTTCAATGAGGCTTTCGGGTTGGTCTTGTGTAGCATCCGCGCCAGAAGATGCTGCATACTATACTTGAGATCTAACATGCGATTCTGCAAGATCGTAAGTAATCTGATGGTGTGTTCAACGAGGAAAGGCAGTGCACAGCCGAGGGACGCCAACTCACTCGCTCACATAAATCAATCTGTCGAAGCGAGAGCGTTAGTAGACTGCTGGTTTAATGAACGACTGTGCGCTGGATCCCTTACCCCTTTGCTCAAGGCTGTTTCCGCCTCAAGATCATTCTCCGTCTCCTCAAACAGTATGCGCGCATATCGCAACCTTACAAGAGCTTCCATTCGAGGCTGTAGCCTCCAATTCTAAAACGTAACACTCGAATTAGCTTGAATGCTCGACCGTTACTCACAAAGCAATCGTTATAATCGGGACAGCGGCCACCCAAACCTTTAAGACTGCCTCCAGACAACCAAGACCTGTTGCAACAAGCTTGTAATATTCCTCAATGTCCATCTCCTGCCTTGATAAAGCGACCATGGTTCCGTGACCATGAGCTGCCTTTAGATACTCGTCTGCCAAGCTCAACAAGAGGACTTGATAATCTATAGGGGGCTTGCTTGGCTTCTGCACTGGCTGCTGAGCATTCTGACGTTGCACTTGTTTTTTAGAGCCCTGGCGCTGCATTTTTTGTTGGACTTCCGGTGAAGGAGCCGGGATCAGGACTTGAGGCAGGGGTTTCGAGGCCGGTACAGGAGGCGCGGGTTTCGATGATGACGGAACGGGAGGGGCAGCTCTCGAGGACGGAACAGAAGTCGCAGGTTTCGATGACGACGGAAGAGGAGCAGGTTTTGGAGAAGGCACAGGAGGTGCCGCAGCTACTGGATTTGAACTTGGAACCGAAGGGGCCGGAAGAGCAACCTGGGGGTACTGGTTGAAGACATTATTTCCCAGGTTTGGAGTTGGCGCTGTCTGATATGCCGATTGTTTTGATTGCGCCGATGTTGAGGTGGCCGCGACAGCCTGGGAACGGTTGCTGTTGCCTGCAACAAAAACCACGGGTTGGGCACCATATTGGGTTGAGCCATGGGCAAGTTGAGATGACGAGGCAGGAGGAATAAGCGGTTGCTGGAACACGTCAGATGGATTCACATATTGCTGTTGCGGCTGCTGCTGTTGTTGGTGGTGCGATTGTTGTTGGTGTTGATGCTGCTCTATATTATATGCCTGTCCGTATGACGAATATGGCGAAATTATAGTCTGAGGGTAAGCGACAGGCTTGCCATATTCATATGGCGAAGCGTTCGAGTCGGCATCGCTATACAGTAGCTGCTGTAGCTGTACGTGTTGCTGCTGTGGTTGTTGCAAATACTGCGGATATTGACCGTTATGAGATGGTGGGTAGTTCATCGCCCCCGAACGCAGATAAATGGCATGGAATCGCAACACTCTGCTACCCTGGATAGATTTCGTATTTGAGGATGAAGATGTTATCGAATTCGAACCAGATACCTTTCATCCTGATACGCGCTTCCTTTTCCGTTTCGGTTCGGAGAAACTCCAGGGCGGTCAGACCAGTCAATTCACCTACGTATGACTTCTTTTAAACAAAAGCCTAAGAGAACCATGGTCATGCTGAAACCTTCGACGTTGTTCGCAAGGTGTTTTTGTTTCATTAACGAAGTATTACGGGAAGTTCGAGGTAGACAGACATCACGCAAATGGTACAGAGATGCATTGCAAGGAAATAACTCGATCTACTCCGTACTATATGAGGGTATACTCTATGAGAAGCAAAGGTTCCTATCCAAACAGACAAAAAAGAGAAGAGAAATAATGAGAAGAATAATACTCGATGGCAAACGAAAAACCAGTATGCATGCCCATCATAACGCCTTGCCTCCCACCCAATGGCTGAGCTGGAAGTACCGAAGGCTCAGTGAGTCTTCCCGGTCTTTAAATCATGTTTATTGAAGTGTAAAGCTGACTCATCGACTGATCTTGGACTGCTGGACCAAGGATATCCATTCCCAAAGCAGGTGCGCCGGTAGAAGGGGGATGCTCCCGGACAGTCCAAGGGCATAGCTCACTGCAATTGTCGACGTCAACCGAATTCTCGGCGGGATGTATACGTTGAGAAGCCCACGCCTGGTCTGGTATCGATGTCGTCCCACCAAGGCATCTCTCGGTCCAGAAGTGGTAAGTTGCCTTGCCTGAGTCTTGGTCCTCATGGGAAGGTTGCCTCCGAGCACACTTGAGCACTGACTTGCAAGAATTGCAAATTGATATTCGCTTGCATGACGTGCAGATGCTGTCGAAGCTTTGGCAAATAGTCGTCTGGCATACACTGGAAAGCCACAGGTCGACTGATCGATGAGCACATCCGAAACGGGGCGTTATGTATTCTTCCTTTCCTAGCTTTCCGGATTCCGTTGTCAATCTGTATTCGGTCTTGATTTTTAGCTGGTCTTCGTCGTCCAGCTCCGGGAAAATCTCAATCTGTAGTTGTGTAGGCCCATAGTCCTTGGAGCAAGAATGCCAGCAGAACCGCTGTTGAACGCCGGCTCCAAACTGAGACTCCAAGGCGGCAATCGACCGCTGTCGCACTTTCAAAAGTTCAACAAGATCCAACTTATCCCGAAACGTCAATTTCTTGCAGGGACACAAGTCAACTATGCCCGCAAAGTTACCCAACATACATGCTCGGTCCTCCGGTTTGCGCCTGAGTTCCCGAGAGGAGAAAGCACCTCGTGGGTGGAGCTTCAGACATTTCGAGCAGGCCCACCACCTGCTGTTCTCTAGTATATTGATGAGTTGCCACCGTGTGGTGACGAAATTGTGTCCGTTTCGGTAATGGTGAAACAGAGGTGCAAAGTCCTGGCTGAACCTGAAGGGCCCAAATTAGCGAAGTGGACTTCAATGCCTTAGGCAAAGCTGGCGAGGCAGTGTCTGTACCTTACAGATCTGAAAATGGCTCCGCATATCGCAAACAGTCGTTTACACGTCAGAGCCAGGCATGTTTCAGGTATTACAGATAGATGCGAGATGATCTCTAGCAGCAGCTCTGTGGGCAGTTCAAGAAGATAGCACCGGGTGGAAGGACTCGTCGCTGTCGGTTGCTCTTCGGATTGGCCTCGCACCCACGTATTCATCTTCGCAACAGTCTTCAGCTTTTCTCCAGCCCGGCGGAAAGGATACACCATGTTGACTGAAAGCCGCTTGCTTTCGATACGGATTACACTAGAAGCCAGCGACTTGGCGCTTTGTCTCCAGCGTTTCTTGTCCTTTGCTCCGAAAACCTTCGTCGAAGATTGACAGTAAGTCATGGAGATGGTAAGAACCAGCTAGTTCGCTGCTGGCTCATAGGTATCATAGTGTGTAGTTATATGAAAGCGACAAAAGCGCATCGTGTGACAAAGAGCTGTCATAAAGGAAGAGTAAGAGAGGGAGGGCCTGTTGACCTTGAAGTAGTCCCCCACGACGGCTGGAAGTTGCACGCAAACGGAGCACGCGCTATGATCACAGTGTAGCAGATGCTATCAGGATTACATACAAGGCTAGGGCTCCCGATGCAGGGTCACTGTCTGACCAACCCAAAGGATGGCTGCTTCAACTCATCAATACAAAAAAGCTGCAAGCATAAGTAGGTTCCAAAATATCTGTAAAGTAAATATAGAAACCAGATTCCCATTCTGAAGGGTATTTGCATGATGACATCTCGCCGAGTTTTGAGCTGGCTTTCCGCATTCGGGTCCCTGACAGCCGCATTGAGCACTCTTAAATCCCGTAGATGTCTGCATCTTTCTTCTCGAGATATTCACACTTCCAACGTATGCTATTCGACTAAGAAAAGCCACAGTCCAGCCTGATAAGAAGACTGAGGGAAAGAGTTCGATGTAACTGGCTATAGTTCGGTATCAACTGACTGCTAGCTTCTGATCATAGTCATAGGGTTTCTCTGTGTCTCATGATGCAAGGAAAAACAAACAGAACAAACATCGGAAGTAAGCATGTGATTGCTGAGTCATTGATCAGATAACAATGCTTATGTCATGGCTTCCCGATATAGTAGTGATGCCGAGGCACAGGGAGGAGAAAAAAAATCCTATACATGCACAGGTGTGATGTAGAGTGGGATGTAGGCCTGTTTTCTGTATCTTGATTCTGTTTCCTGTTTCTTAACTTTTGATGTTACTATTGTCATAGCAAAACTCTGCTTATAGATCAGATCGTTGATGTATTCAGACGGGTCAGTCAATCATTGCTCCCTTTCAGACTTTCAGAGCTTGGTCCTTCAGGCTGCCGCTGTGGCTACGACTGACTTGTCACTCAAAGTATCCTGAACTCCTATTTACTTCCGTTGATTATCTCTGGACTGCTCGTCATAGGCATGTTGTCATGGATTCGGCCAAGTGCGCGACTTTCTTTTTTCCATTCCAAGGATAACAAACTTCTCCTGACCAAAAAGTCTGGCGAATCTGGTGTTAAGCAGCAGGTTGCGCTGGCGGACGTCTGTCGCGCTGCGACCCCGGCGAAATGCCATCTGAATCCTTTGCTTTTCAATGGACATTTGCAGACTGCCTGGACCACCGTCAAATTCGATGATGTTCCTGTGTACTACAAGCGTAGGATGTTTGAGGCCGACAGTTCGATGTATAAAGGGCAATTTGCAGTGGATTTCGTCGTTGAGCCGTATGAAACGCCCAAGGACAACGCCGAAGCTACTGATAAAGCGAGGAGATACACTCTTCCTTCAGGTCTTCCGGAACGGACGTCTTTCTTATCAGAAGAGGAGTTCCAAGCTCTGCCTTCAGACGATACGAAGCCCATGCTTGTGCTTCTCCATGGTCTAAGCGGTGGCTCACACGAGATCTATCTGCGCCATGTACTCGCTCCACTCATTGCAGATGGAAATTGGGAAGCATGTGTGGTCAATTCCAGAGGCTGCTCTCAAACCAAAATTTCTACCGGTGTGCTCTACAATGCCCGGGCCACCTGGGATGTTCGTCAGACTGTAAAATGGCTCCGCAAGGCGTTTCCAAATCGACCCCTGTTTGGAATTGGGTTCTCGCTCGGCGCAAATATCCTTGCCAATGTAAGTTGCTCCCATCCGCGGATTGAGTGTCCATTAACACTTTCGTGCGCAGTACCTCGGTGAAGAAGGTGATGCATGTCAGCTGAAAGCGGCGGTACTCTGTGCGAGCCCGTGGAATTTAGAGGTCAGCTCGACAAATCTCCAGAAGACATGGCTCGGGCTTGAGGTGTACAGCAAGACAATGGGATCGAGCATGAAGCGACTCTTTGAACAGTGAGTTCAGCCCGATCAATAGCTCTCTTCTTATCCAGGCTGACTAGTATATATTAGACATGTTGAAGAAGTTTCAAAGAATCCGCGGATTGACGTGGAGGCAGTCAGGAACACCAAATACTTGCATGAATTTGATCGGTAAGACTTCGTGCATTGTCTCAACCCACTTTTGGCCGTCACTAAGTTATTGATCATTTCTTTAGGGCACTGCAATGCGCAACATGGGGATACCCTACAGAGGGCGCATACTATCGAGACGCGGCATCTATCGATTCCATGCTTGCCATTCGAATCCCATTCTTCACCGTGCAGGCCGAAGACGATCCGGTCGGTCCTATAATTAATTCTAGGGTTTAACGTCGAACTAACCACTTTGTAGATCGCTTCGGTCGATGCGCTTCCTTTTCAAGAAATGACGCAGACACCCTATGGTGTCATGTTGACTACGTCCTGGGGTGGTCACCTCGGTTGGTTTGAAATCGGTGGAGATAGGTGGTTTGTGAAACCGGTGTGTATCTTGCTACAGGACCCCAGACGCATCTATTGACTTTTGAGATAGGTGACCAACTTTCTGAACACAATGGCCAAGGAGATTGACCTCGGGACGCCTTTCATAGTTGAGCATCCTGAAAAGCTTCCAGGTCATATTGCGAACCACTTTGATTTGAGCAAAGATCCAGACACGGCACCCAAACCGGACTTTGACCCCATGCGGCGCAAATTAGCCATGAAGATGGTGCAATAAGGCGAACATGAATACACACTTCTAGATTGGTTGGGAAGACTGGTATATATTGTTATGAGTTGCCCAATCATGTCACTTTCGGGTAATACATAGACCTGCGGAAACGCCAAACAACCCCATCTAAATACATAGAATTGGTATAGACAGAATAAACTTTTATACATAGAACGCTCAAGCAAAAGAAACACTCTTTCTCTTTCCTTTTGACTTTGAATCTGATCTGGCCGTCGAAGCATCAGGTTTGGAGTCTTCATTGTCACCGCTCTTGCGCTTCCGCTTCTGGCGAATTGATTGTTTCGCTTCTTCCTATATTCCCAGATCTCTGTTAGCCAATGCCTCCATACAGAGCAAGTTCAACCGAGGTTTTCCGTATGGGAACCCGATAATGTTTATAATGTCGATACATACCAACTTGTTCTTCTTTTCCGCATGTCTCGCTTCTGCTTCCTTCCTCTTGGCTTCGCGGATCTCCTCTAATTGACGCGCCTTCTGCAACTTGGACTCAATGTGGCCCTCTTGTTCGGCATTGACCATGGCAAGGATAGTCATCATTCCCTCCTATACACGGAGCAGGTGTCAGTGATCTTCAGCCGATAGTCAGAGACAAAGGCTGGGGAATGGGCACACGCACCTGATCATCAACAAAGACCTTTCCCTTCTTCTTGCCCTTTGGCTTCACTACTCCAACAGGCGTGATCATGTTCAGCTTCGGGAGGTCCAGTTCTTCTTCTTTATAATCTCTCTTCTTCGTCTTCTTCAGCAGTGATGGCTCCGTACGTGCCTTCGACTTCACTTCCTTGGGTGGCGGGCGCTTTGCATTTTTCTTGCTCACTTTCGAGGCGGATGAGAGAGGCTTGCTCTTTCCTGAGTCACTCTTGGAGGAGGACCTGCCTTTGACTGAAGGCTTATTCGGCGCCATATCTGTTATCTATCGAGATCGTGCGTCGCACGTGGGTATCGTGCAGAGGAAATCGAATTTGCTGATGTCTTTTCGCTTAGGGCAGGTTGATAGTGAGAGGAAGAAAAGTAGACCAGAATTGTATTAGACAGCTTCCACAGTTACTCGTACCGATAAAATGGGGCAAAATGCGCATATGGAGATTAATACTTGGAACCATAAGGTAGCAAATCTCGATGCTCTCCAAATAACTGCGGATGAAATTTTTTGAAAGAGGAAGGCGGTAGGGCGAACCAGCGAGGATCCCATAACCTCCACTTCCAACCCATCCATCGTCACGCTAACTCGAGCCCAAAAAAGGAACGTCGACTTCCAGCGCATCCGTCCCTCCCCCAGCTTGCCGTGTCTAGGCTCGGATCACCGACCACTTCGTCCAAGATGACCATCAATCCCACTTACCTCGCGCAGCGCACGCGCTCCTGTATGTGCAGTCCTTCCCGCACACGAGACCCCGAGACGGTCCGGCGATGACCTTACAAATTGCCGCGATGTCAGTGGATGGACTGGCCGATGCTAACGTGCATGATCATGATAGCTGTCAATTGGGCCGACGCAAAGTCTCGCGTCATCAAGTCCTACAGAGAATGGCTCAGAGCGGTCAGTTCGCCCATCCCGCAGCTATACATACTTTGATTTAGCCCTTGAATGTCCGTCCATTGGGCTACTGAAAGCTCTAAGCATTGGCGAACGTTTCTCCGTATGCAAGAAAGGACTGACATGGAAAACGTCGAGGAGAATAGTCCCCCGAGATCCAGACCATGTACTCCTTGAACATCCCCGTATCCGCAATCCGGACGAAGATTCGCCAAGAGTTTGAGAAGCACCGCTACGTTCAGCAGCTGGGTGTTGTTGATGTTCTGTTGTTCCAGAGCCATGCAGAATACCAGGTCAGTCCAGAGGCTACCGATTCACTTAATTCATGCCAAGCCGACGATATGATGCGAATGATATGTTCTCCGTGGCTTGATCCTATGTCTCGAAATGGCCTTCTTGGGACTTTACTGATGCTACTTTTTAGGAAACCCTCAACTACTGGAAGCAGCTTTCGCATGTGATGAAATACTTCCGGCCAGAAGAGGAGCCCGGTGCTAGATTACCTCCTAACTTCATCTCTGGATTCTTGGAAGGCCGCAATTGAATTTCCTTTTCGAATTTGTTCACTTGCCATGATTTCCTTCCGTTTTCGGGGATTGGGGCATTGCGTTGCGTCCCAGATAGAACGTGTCATGTAAATATTGTCAGACTACCAAATTGCAGCTTTTGTTCCTCGCATGTTGCATCTCATTCTACCCTTCCACTACTTGTGCAGGTCAGGTCGCAGAAGGATAAGACTTCTCATGAACAGATGTAATCATTTGCAGGTCTGTTGCACATCGTACACCGAATTTGGATATCTAATAATCCTATTAAAGACAAGTTTACTCCGATACAATGCCATAGAAAACAAAATCGTCCCAAGAATGAATACATCGGAAACTTTTGGCTTCAATATACAACGCCATAAATGTCAAGTCCAACCAAAAAGAGTCATGCATCACGAGGTCATCTTATCAGCCTGGGCAGCACTGTAAGCATCCCGCGCTGATGTGAATTTGTCTGTGACGACATCACAGAGATCCATCAAAGCCTCCAAGCCCTTCTCCAGGGCTTCAACTGCAGTCGTTGTATCTGCGACATCCCGTCAGCTCCATCAACCCCGCCTATATGTGGCAGAAATACATACCATAGGTCTGGATACGCAAGTTCATCTTGGCTTCCGAGGGATGCGGGATCGTATATCCGCAGAATTCAACTTCGGGGCTGAAAGGGGTCAGTCATTGCTACATCGCCAAGAACAAGAATATGGCCGACTCACTTCTTCATGATGGCGTAACGTAACGCGTTCCCTAGAGTATGGCCCTCACCTTCAAACTGAAACGAAGCTGCGGTCTCGGTGGCACCCGGTAGCTAAGAAGATTCAGTAAGCGACCAGTCGACAAAAATTCGTGCTGCATGTCTGATGGGAGCAGAACCGCGAACGAGGGGACATATAACGCACCACGACAATACGCTTTTCCTCAAGCTCGAATTCCTCCTGTTCAAATTCCTGCTGTTCTTGCTCCTGAGGAGCAGTGTCCATCATGGACTGGTCTTGGTCTTGAGAGTGTACAGAGGCTGGCATGGTGTGAGGCCGAAGAAAGGGTATGTAGCACGGTTGGTTGTACAGAGAGTGATAGTTGAGACGCGGGTTTCGTCAGCTTGGTCCAGGTGTGGAAGAGTGCGTTAAATGCGCTTTGTCAAAAATTGCTAGCCCAGATATCTTTGTCTCTGGTCGATATGTCTGCTTTTTCCAGTTGAACTTCTTATCCTAGATCTTGTTGTTTCCGAGATCAGTGGTTTGTAGGCAGCGGAGGTCCTTAGGGCGTCGCGTTCCTAGGTGCTCTTCCAACGGTGCGATTAAATCGACAGAGCAATTGCAAGTGATTTCGACTGTTGAGTATAGTAGTTCTTTAATGCAATTCAGTAGTGAGCGTCGAGGAGGAAATCCGAGTTGCGTAATTCACCAGGTCCCTCAAGGGAAGAAAAAAGAGTAAAAATGGTTATCGATAGTGCGTAGACCGCCTTCGGTATTCGGCGAATCTTGGCAGATCATCACGGAGAGGTACCTTAATATAGATCCCTTTGAGCTCGTAGTAGAGCAGAGAGCTTTATTGCGTCTGTACAATTACTGGAACATGCTCTAAAAGGCTGATCAATTCCAAATATCCACAGTTGCAGCATGCGGAGTTAGTGATGAGAAGTTGCTGCTCGGCCGGAGGAAGCAACTACTACTGTACTCCGTACAGCTTGAACTATCACAAGTAGAGATACCGAGCTTCAGCAAGAGGCTGTCAGGGATCAATGCAGGGTATTGACCGTCCTAATTTTCAAACAGTCCAGTTCTTAGTTATCAAACACCTCATGATCAACCACTATCCCGATTTTGTGGATGTCGTGCAACTCTGGCTTGTCGAGCAAGAGCTATCCACCCTTTCAGTGAGCGCAGTGCAGATACTGGATTCTGTTGGATCTGCTGGCAAGAATGAAGTCGCAGCATCTGAGCGGTTATATAAAGGGATATGATATCAGTCATTCGGGCTCCCGAACAGCTGTGACCTAGGAAACATACACTTCCTGAAACTTCTTCATATCGCTGTCATTATCTATGGCAAGGAAATTTCCGAAGTGTCAGGGATCACTGACATCTGACATTTGGCAAACACTAAAGGAAACTATTGAAATGAAATTGAATATGGTGGTATCCATCGACTGGTGGGCTTTCTGCTATTTCGAGAAGATCTCAGATTAAGATCGGCTCGAAAATCGATTTCTCGGTGCAAAGACCACTGACCAACTGCTGCAACGCATATGCCCATGGGCGGATGGGCCATAGCACAACTTCCCTAGTTCCCTGACTGAGGAATAGGTCTGTGCAGACTCCCGTCTTAGATACTTCGTATGGTGTTTTACCAGTCTCTGAGGATGATCACTTAGAGGGTTCTCACTGTTGAATGAATAATGAAGAATCAGAAACACATGGTATTTATGATTCATTCAACCCATTTGAGTTTGAATTAATTTGCACTTTGAGGGTGAGCATGGAATGTGGGCCAAATTAAATCACTGTATCCCTCAAGGCGATGGCATCTGCCATCTTGATCCAGACTGGTGGCCCGTGTTCTAAGTTCATGCTTCCTCGAGGCCGTGAGTCGTGATAATTTCGCTAGGAACACTCGTGGGGCGAACAAATCACTAGTGCATCTAGCACGCAGTGCTAACTTGCTAAGGTTGGCCTAAGAATAATTTCCCGGAGGTTTGGATCATGAACTATCTACTTGCGTCGTACTTTTTTCGACCTGTCACAATCCCCAAAGAATCTATGAGCTGATTTGTGGATAGTACCATGTCTCGTTATTTAAGAGGATTCAGAGTACACCATAGGCAGGCTCTGTACTTTAAGGATAGGTGACATGATGATAGGACTGAGCACTTTTAACACAAGTCTAGATGGCTAGAGTATGGTCGTCGACTCTGTACCTTGATCGCTACGCGTAGATATCACATGATATCAGTCTTGTACGAGAGCGATAGGTTTACTCCATAGCAAGGTTAATGGTAAAAGTAACTTATGCAATGACAGGGTTTGCCGGTTTGCTTATATTGATTATGCACCAAGAACCACTTCGACATTCGCATTATGATTAGACTACTGTCAGAGACTTGACTTAGTGGATGTGACCACCAGCCAGCTACCTTTAATGAGCATTGGCGCTGCAACAGGAACAGGGATTGAGCGACCTAGGACATGAGGGTCTTCAGGATTGGCTCTCTTCCTGCATTAACTAGATAGATAGATCCGTGCTTCGATAATTAATTCCAGAAAAGTTGGCACCTGGCAGGCAATGGCGAGAACTGCGTGGGTCAAAAGTACTTATCAGAAGCAATTATTTCTCTGTAAGGTAGATCTGAGTTTTTACCACTACCAAACATCAAGTACAATGCTCCGAATCTATGCTTCAATGTTACACCCGCACTGACTCCTGAAGTGGACTATCATTCCTGAAGAAAAGGTGATGGACCGCATGAGGCAAAGGATCGTGTACACCGACTAGAGATCAAGGGCCATATTTGTTTGGCAAGAAGCGTATATTCGAGCCACAGGGGCACTCTGGATAGAGAGAAGATACTCCGTAATACTCCGCATCCGACGCGAATCTCGATCCGCGGAGGTTAGATGTATATGAGTTCGCGGAGAAGACCATGAGAGACCTCGATGTAACTAGGGATGCCCAGTATCCGAATTTTGGATAGGGGCGAGCAACCTGAAGAGCACGACAATTGACAATCGGTGCAGTCATGCTATGGAGTTGACTTACGAATACTATTGTCTAGGTAAAGAAGAGAAAAGTGTTTTTGTCGATGCAGCTTGATGTTCTGATGGTGATCAAGAAAAGCAGATCTATGCATAAAATAGATAGTTCCCTCGTGGGCTTGATTCTTGACTGACTACCCGGTTTATTGGAGCAATCTCTTTTGTCTCACAATCAACTTCAGTATCTAATATTAATGTCAGTAAGGATTCAAGCATACAGGGTAGGCTCGGATAATATGGTCTCTTGCAGACGGAACCTCAAAATGACCAAGCGAAAGCCCATGACAAACAACTTAAAACAACAAATGCTAGGGTCGGGGATTTGATTGGAGGATTTGAAGGATCATGGTGAGGGACGCTGGTGTCGCAGATTTCGTCGCCAGTCGCCACAGGGGAAAGAGGGGGCAGTATTTGTGTGTAACTTGACTGATTAGGAATAGACGGGACTAAGTAGTACCCGTCATGTTTGAGAGGTGTTTGGTACTAATACTATCTAGATACGGAGTAATACAGACTTACAGTAGATAACTATCTTGTTGACCCCTGGTTCTTAAGGTAAACTCGCATAATTATTGTCCTAATTCTGATGAACTATGAGCATATCTCCTAATTGATTTCTCAGCAGTGACTCGATGGACGCATGGACACCATACGTGCCTCTTGTTATCTTGTATGCCTCACAAGTCAGATCTGTTGAAAATGTATTTCCTATCTTGGCTACTTGATACCAAGCCGTCGATGGCGAAAACTTATCGCATCGGAAGCCAGGATGGTCAGACTGTCAGATACGGATACCTTATGGTGTTCCAGACTTCAATTTTTCAACCCAGGCAAGATTGAAAGTAAAGGTATCTGTCTGTATGTATTATCCTGTTGTTCGGGTTGCAAACCAAACTGTGATTCTGTAAGCACATCAACTTGGTTTTGACTTGAGATGGAGGCATACCTAGCTCTCTAACAGCTCCTCTTGATGATCATGTTTAATACATAGATATATGATATGGTATCCATGACTGAGATACGAATCGCATCCCATTCCCAGCATGGATTGTTGGAAGTTGGCTGTCACAGTTGTCACTTGTCACATCATTGACGGACAAGCCCTGGGCAGAAACAAACCATGTCTCAGAATGCTCCAATCGAGTCTCATCCCAAACTCTCATCGTCTCCACTCATCAGGAGGAAATAATAGTAACACCATCGAAATAAATGAAGTACATCTCTCTCTCTCGATCTCAGCTATCATAGAATATCAATATGTGTCATTATCATATTCAGTACTGAGTTGTATAACTACCTAGTCTAGCAGCATGAACGATGATACTTAAGAATCCAGAAATTTAATCCATAATCCCTTACAGAGTACGTACTTTGGATCTCAGAGATGTTTTAGAATTAAGTGGTCACAGCTTGTCTGGTTTGAGGTTTCATCCCCACATGCTCCTCCTCTCCCTCTCCATAGTTAATACTCCCACAGCCTCATGTTGTAAACTTGTATGTAGCTACATATCTAGGCTGCTCCATGTTCCGCAGTTCCTTCTCTCTCATCCTCCTGTCAGCCTCTGTGACTGTGAGAGTCGCCCAACCCCTCTTTAATTCTGTTACACTTTAGTAGTTGACCATATTTCCTTCTTCTGACCTTTGCTTTCCAGCCATATCCAAGTGGTCAAACACTGCTATCAAATTTACAACACTACCTAAATATGTACATGATTGATCCACTTTGTACTAGGTATCAGCTCCATTTTGTTTCTCCTCATTTCTCATCTTGATTTTCTATTAATTTTCATTATTATTATTTTATTGCCTCCTCTCAGTTCCTCGTCACCCTAACAGTCTTATATCTGCCTTCCAGTCATACCTGTCTTAATCCTTAATTCTCTCTTTGCTCTCCTCTTCCCCCCCTCCCCTTGACCCTTTCTCCAAATCACCTGTCAATTTTTCACGGCTTTTAGCTTTGTCTTTGTTCGTTCAAGAATCGGTCTTCCCCTCCCTTTTAGGCAACTTGCCTGTTTGCCTGCATACTAGTTGCCCAGACCTATCGAGATCCCTGTCCATTTCTCTCGCTTGTTGCTCTGGATCGATCTCCGGCCTGACCGACCCTGTCGACGCTGTCACACTGCCGCCAGCAGCTTTACTTAACCGCCCTCCCCCAAAGTGTCTGACCACTTCGTGTCACACCAACCTTTTTTTTTTTTTTCCTTTTTCCTTCTTTTCGATTCTCCTTTTGGGCGTCAATCATATTCTCTCGGTGCTGTGACTCTTCGCTCGTCCTCTTGCCTGTCCTTTGACTCGTAGTGGCGGTGCTCTGCTTGTCGTCGTCTGTGTTTTGGGTTGCTTTTTCTGGGTATTTGTTAGCTAGGCGGCTTTCACCTCTCGAGGAGAGCAAAGCCCAGCATAGCCGCTAACCACCGCCGCGCTCTTCCATCCGCGCGCGATTCCACTTTACGCCTACCAAGTTACCAACACCCGAAGTCGATTCTCTAACAGAGTTTCTCTTTGCACTTGTCTATCTACGACTGTTCAATTTTCGGGATCTTTTGACACCACCTCTCCTCAACCATCTGACCCAACGCCATATATATACAGGGACTGCGTTCAGACACACCGATTGCGGCACGAAGTCATACCTACTTCAGACTCTCAGAGCTTCCACCAGCTATATTTACTGTCAACATACTCTCGAATTGTTACGCACTGTCTTGCGTCGCCCGCGGACCTGTGCGACTTACCAAGGACTACTCCGCTATTCAATCGACCGGGTTCACTATCCGTTCCATACCATTCAATATAACATCTGATCTTCCGCGACATTCCTCATCAGACCTTATACTATCATGTCTACGGCAGTTGCGCCTGCTACAGCTGCTCCATTGCCGTCGCCGCATATGAATCGCGATCCGAGTCCGAAAAATTGTCCGACCCTGGCACCGACAGCAACAAGTTCCCACTCCAGTTTGACACCTCCACGAGCATCTGGCGTCTCACAAGATGGATCTGCAGCGAAAGGTTTATCACCGGGACGAAAGCACACATCGCCGTCGTAAGTGCCTCGACTTCGCTCATGCAAATGCCTCATAACAAGTAAAAGGCGTGATCTGGGGTTTTTACTAACATTTTTGTTTGTTTCACCCTCTAGATCACAAAATGGAAGTATTCCTCCCAAGGTGATAGTGAAAAAAGAACCGCCGTCCTCGCCTGCTATGCAAACTCAGACGCACACTCGGCCCCGACCCCGAAAGCTGGACCTCTCCACCAGCCTCCCGACTGCGGGAGGTCTTTCAGCTCGCCCTGCCGGCGGTCCCATGACGGCCCGTGACGGAGTCACCATGCATGACGTTGGGATCGCATGCTTGTCACCGGGGTTTCAGACTCATGATCCAATTATGAGGGAGCAGCTCCAGAGGAGTCTTTCCGTGCGAGACCAGCAGAGGTCCATCATAGAATCTCGGTTGCACAAGTCGGCCAAGGATGACGGTCCGGATGGTGTTAAACCATCGGAGTCAACCTCATTTGGGGCCCCCAAAACGGGCGCCTCCAAGCGTAGACCACCGCCTGGTCTGTCAATCGTACCTCCGTCTGCTGCCCAATTTGCCAACGAGCGTGTCATTCAATCGGCACCGCTGAATCAAACATTCACTGGTCGATATCAAGCGCAGCCGCTGACTCGGCACGTCGTGAACCAGAGCCCTACCCTCGGCTCTACCTCTCACATTCACCATGTCCCTGCTACTCAAACAAACAATCGCCTTCCCCCACTATCTGACGTCTTTGGCTCTGATGCTCTAGGCTCTCGTGACCGGGATCCTAATCGCGGCACATACTATCAGGCTGTTTCAGGCGCAAATCCGTCACAATCCAATAACCTTCCGCCGTTACCATCTCCGAGGATGCCGGGAGCTGCGACGCAAGCGCAAGGTCGACCTCGGGAGTACCGATCCGCAGAGGAGGCTGTCCATGAATTGGCTGGTGGACGAGAGGAGCTTCTGCCGCGCATTGTTCACTATGGCGGCCACCAGCCTCCAACTCCACCGTCTCCTCGCGTAGCTAACGGACAAGCCAAGTCACGACCTGGTACCGATGCTGCACCTTCAGCGCCACCTCCGCCTCTCCAACCAGTATTACAGTCATCCGAGGGAACTGCTCGCCGCCGCCCGAGAAGTGAATATGAACAGGATAATGGAAGTCCTCCCTTGGGCCATGGCCCTGAACCTCACTATCGACCTAATCCAGCTCTAGCTTCTGGCGCAAACACCACTTACGGGCCTTTTGGAGCAGGCAGAGACTCTCCTGAGACACAACGGAGAAAGAAGGAAGAGTTTCTCAGTCTCTGTGCCAGAGCTTGGGATCTCTTTCACTCATGAACCTGGCTCATCTGTGGCCTGTTGTATCCTATCTATCTGTCGGATTTTATTCGCTTGTTTTAGCCTTGGGCATAATCCTACAAGGCAGATCTTGAGGGTTTCAAATCCGCTGCATCTCGCACAAGACGCAACGAGTCCATTGTGGGCAGTCTTGGTACACCGAGATTCGGATAAGATGAGAATTCGGCAGGCACAGAGCTATTTGGCCGGATGAGATCAGTCAATTGAAATTGATGAATGCGAGACTTACGACTACTCTTACGAACATTTCCGATAATCCCTCCTGATCCAAGAGCAGGAGCTGTTATCATTTCTGACTTGCTCCCTGGGTCTCTTCTTTCCACTTTTTTTGGTGCTGCTGTTCACTGGGTTTCATGGCGTTGTATCTTGTTGGATCGGTTGCTGGAAAATGTCAACTGTGCACAAAACCATGTCCATATTTGTTATTCTCTTCTGCCGTTATCCTTGCTGGCATTTGTCGCCACCGATTTGGTCATCTTGTTGTGATACCATTGTTCTCTTCACCATTTTCTTATCTTCCATTTCGACATAGCATTTCCGTCAGACGAAGCTCATTTTCCCTTTTGTTATCTTCAACCTTCTTTTCTTGTCCTGAAGCTTACAGTAATGCCCGGCGCCTTTCGATCCTCTTGAATCAGGGCCGGTGATAATTCGAGAGAGACGTCATCTTGCATTTTTATAAGAACCATTAGTGTTGACTGGTAGATCCAGTCAAATTTGAATAATGATTTCTCATGATCATTCCGGTGATCTATCCAGAGTCCAGATGCAAGCTTTCACAGAAGAAACAATGTAGAAGAAATAAGAAAACAAATGAATTCGCCATAAAGCATTGATGGATTGAAGGTATGGGCACAAACGTCTCTAAGCAATCCGCCTGCGTTTTCTGCCCCCGCCGTCATTGAAATGCCTGGAATCATCCTCGAATCCGCGTCGCTCCATAGGCATTTCCTTCCTCTCCTTAGCAGTCAACTTCTTCTGCCTTCTCTCTAGCGCCTTCACTCGTTGCCTGGAGCCCATGCTCTCATACTTCTTAAGCAACACCTGCTTCTTAAGATCCGACTGCTTGAGGAAGTAGGGGTTACTCTTCTTTCCTTCGCGGATGAGCTCCTTCTCTCGTTTCTTGTGCTCCGCTAACACCTCCTTCTCCCGTCTTCTGTTTTCAATTGTGCGCAGACGGTCCGTAGCCGCCCGAATATCACGCTTCAAGGCTTCCTTCTGTCTCGGATCCTTAGTCTTTGCGAGCTTCTCCTTCATTTCCTTGAGCTCCGCAGCGCGGTAATCGTCCAAGAAGGCGTAGGCGTTTTGGGAAGCTTCGTTACGCCCGCTTTGGCTGCGTACCGTGGGATCGAATCGCGGGTCCCGCGTTTTGAGGGCAGCCGGCGGCTCGATGATGGTGCGCTTGCGGGAAACGGGGCGTCTGGACGACTGCACCATCGGTGCGTGTTTGGAGGAGCGGGAAAGCTTCTCGGCGTCTTTCGAATTTGAGGATCCCTGTCGTTTCTGTTCGCGGGCTTCGCGAATCCGAGCGCGAATGTCGTCTAATGGGGAGGCAGCTTGGGGTTCTCCGACTTCTGTCGTTGACTGGGCGGATTTGGATTTGCGCTTGGCTTTGGGGCCTAATGAGGCTTGCGCTTTGGCGAGTGCGCCGAAAGATATATTGCTTAATGAAGCTTGCACGTCGTCTTCGCCGTCGTCGCTGTCTTCGTCGTCCTCGTCATCTTCCTCATGGCCCTCTTCCTCGTCTTCATTGCTCATGTCATCTGCCTCGCTGTGGGACTGGTGATGACTTTTAGTAACTTGTGACGCTTCGCACAGGGTTTTGGAAGGCTTACATCAGCGTCATAGTCCCCTTCTGAGCCATCACCGCTAAGATCCGATCCTGATTCATCAACCTCTTCACCATTACTTTCCCGCTCGGATGCAGATGCTTCCGAGTAAACCTCTTCGTCCTCCTCTGGTAGAGCTCGGACTCGTCGGTTGAGAAGATTGGAAATCGCCATCCTCTTCAGCGGCTTAATCAGCTCGATGTGTATATCAGAGAACGAACTGGAGCAAAGTATAAGAGCGCAGTAACCAGCTGCCTCGAACATTCTGCGGCGGTGAAGACGAGCGCAGAAAAAGTCGATGATACTGCCACCGAAGAAGGCGGTGAGTTCAGCGGCGAGACTCTCGTTGGCCGCTTTTCTTTCCGCGCGGCGATCGTCTGCCGTCGCCTTTTTTATTTTGCCGTTCTTCCATCGATTCAAGCGCAGTCAACCTTGATCATTCTTTCTCTCCTTACGTATAGCGTCAATTCTTCGTCTACTTCATGGTTTTGGGGCGCTGGGTCCATTCATTCGTTAGGCTTGCTTCGTTTATTTCATCTCTGCCGCTGTCAGTGACTGCTGCCTATCGCCGCATGCTCCAAGGCGGGGCGTCCGAGAAGGTGGGTATACAAATCCAGATACAGATAGATGATCACCATGGTCGGCGACTGAACATTGGGTTCTCCTGTATAGGTCCTGCCCCCTCTCAAAGTGCCATTCAATTCTGCCTTGACGTCGACACCGCATACCAATCCGTCGAAGAAACGCCAATTACCAGCTACCATCGACAGTGCTCTCGAAGATCTAGGAATGAGACCTTCAAAAGCTGTCAAAGATGTTACATCTCAAGCAGGAAATCATCCACAGAACAATAATGGTTTACCCGATGAAAGCCAGCATTTAAGGAAATCATGGAGGCCATATCAAGGTCGCTGGAATTCGAACAACACCTTTAGGCGCTCCGACACAGTCGTTTCTTCCGGAACTGATAATGCTGTGCCGAGCAGTTCGCGGAAAAGTCGTACACGACGCAATGCCAGATCTTTTGACAGAAAGTCAAATGAAGAATCGTCACCGTATAGTCCGCATCTATCAGGCTCTCAATCAGCTCAAATTCCGCAAATGCAACTACCGCAGCCCTTTAATGCGCCGTCTACTAGTCCGCAATTTGACCCGAATTTCAGCTCGTTTCCCGTTTTGCCTGTGATACCCCGTACAGCAGACACTGTTAACAACACAGCCATGCAGCTGCCGTTTGTCCCAGCGAACCTACCCAACTTGCAATCATCACAGTCGCAAGCTTCGCTCGATAAGCTCCCGTTCACCTCTTACGGTTTCCCGCCAATGCCAGACTTGAACAACCCTGGAAATATATTACCTTTCATGCCTCCAATGCCCCCATTTCCTCCAATGAACTTGGGTGTTTCCAGTCCAGCATTGGTACCACCAATCTTCGGCGGATTTCCGTTCTGTCCCTTCGACCCGATGTATCCTACAGCAGCTGGCTCTGCTGGAGGCACTTCTCAAGGACCAACACCGCAACCATTGCTCCCAATTCCACCGCGTGATCGGAAATCTAAAACCCCGGAGCCTCCTGCGCCGACTAAGGAGTACCTGGCGCAATCATTGTTGCCACCGAAACTACATCCCAGCCGTCAACCTCTACTAGTCATTCTTGACCTGAACGGCACCCTGATATTTCGAAAGCATCGACGTCTGCCCCCTTCTTTCGCAAAAAGGACGGGCTTGGACCAGTTCTTGGACGCTTTGCTGAACAACTACAAAGTCATGATCTGGTCCAGTTCGCAACCAGAGACGGTAAACGCAGTTTGCGAAAAGCTGTTTCCTGGCGAGAAAAGACACTCACTGGTAGCTGAATGGGGCCGCGATAAGTTGAATCTCTCTCAAGCTCAGTACAGGTCAAAGGTGCAGGTCTACAAGACCCTAGAGACGGTGTGGAGCAATAAAGAGATTCAAGCCTCGTACCCCAGCTCCCATCAGAAACGTCGGTCGAAAACGAAGAAATGGGCGGCGCGGGGGAAATCACGATGGGACCAGACGAACACCGTTCTCATCGATGACAGCAAACTCAAAGCACTCAGCGAACCCTACAACATCCTCGAGATCCCGGAGTTCACAAACGCACCGGGAATCGACGAGTCTCGCATATTTCCCAAAGTCCTGGAATGCCTCGAGGCCCTAGCCCAGTACGACGACGTCAGCAAGTTGCTCCAGCTTTGGAACTCGAAGCTGGCGGCAAGCAACACAATCCTTGATCTTGACATCGGGGTGAATCAGTCTCCACAACAGCAAAACGGAGGTTCTTCGACGACGCCGTCAACACCCCAGGAAATAGCCCAGGCACGCAAGGAAAGACGAAGAGCTCGCAAACAGGAGAAAAAAGCGGCGCGACGGGCTGCTGCCGCTATCGGCGCTGCACCTGCGAGCCTACCCACTGCCGCTGCTGTTTCTGCCATAACAGCTGAGGGGGTCAACAAAGGAGCCACTCCGACCGGCAGCACCCCAGCTAATCCGGGTGACGACAGTGCTATCCCGACAGCTACAGCTGTGCCGCAATCGCATACTAGACGTTCTCCGTCTCCCGCTTCCTCAGTGCAATCGGAGAACTACCTTCTCGATCGCCTCGAGGAGTCGTTGAATGTTCGCCACGACTGATTTTGACATTTTGTTCTTGTGCTTATTGATACACGAAGAGAATACCCCTGTTATGTGTTACTGTAAGTTTAGGCGAGGAATTTTAGGTCGTTCTGAATAGATACATTACAGTTTGAGCCTCGTGAGGCTTGTCAAGAACATATATGGCGACTTTCAAATGCTCCATTTACATTGACAGCGTGCATCGAACACATTACTGAATACATAATGGGAACAGAAAACTGCTAGGATCAACAAGTGCGTGATTTTTGGCTTCTTCATGGCTAGAACTAGCTACTATCATTCCACATCTCAAGATATCATTAGCGTGGATATACAATATCCATGCGTTTTAGAAAGAAAATCTTTTTTTGGAAAGTGAAGTCGACGAATGAAAATACGTAAACCATTCAGTCGTGGGCAACGTAGACATTAGGAGGGTCAATTGGGCGCAGAGGGCGAGAGGGATATCAATAGGAAAGCCAGGCCCATAACTTTTCCGGTAACAGGCACGCATGGGTGGATCCTGAAACAAAAGGCTTATGGCCAAGGCTTGAGTTCATATAGAAGCTAACCCAATGTCATGAGGGGAAGAGAGGACATCATGAGGTTGCTGATAGCATTCCCAGAGCACCGTCTATTTGAAGACGTGGCCATCAACGTGGGGGTACTCCTTGCCGTCGACAGTGATGGAGGTGTCCCAGGCCCACTCATCCTCGACGAGCTTCTTGTCCTCGGGGTTGGAGGGGTCGAGCTTGCGGAATTCGTAGCTCTCCCAGTCAGGAGCAACTTCGAAGGCGGGCTTCCAGTCCTGGCCACGGACAAGGAAGACACCGCGGATGATGCAGTTGTAGTTCTCACCATAGACAGACTGAGCACCGAACAGGTACTTGCGGGAAGCCTCAAGACGGGCGTGGAAACCACCTACGATGGGCAGTCAGAATTGGTAGCAGTATGGAGCCAAAGAAGTCAAATCCTTACCGATCAGGTTGTTGGCCATGAAGGTGAGCTTCAGCTCGTTGTTGTACTTGTAGTCAACAGCATAGAGAGAGTACTCCTCGGGCTTGTAGTTCTGCCAGAACCAGGGCAGAGCAACGGGGCGGGTGTCCTCGTTAGAGTACTGACGCTTCCACTCATCAAGAACGAACTCGGGCTTGCCAAGAGCCTCAAGAGGGTGCTTGGGCTTCTTCTCAGGCTGGGGCTCAGGCTCAGCAGCAGGAGCAGCAGCCTTGGCAGGGGCAGGAGCAGCCTTGGGCTTCTCCTCCTTCTTGGGAGGAGTGTACTTGACGGCCTCCTCAGCGAAGACAGGGCTGGGAACGACGGCCTTGAAAGGAGCCTGGTTGATGATAGTGTTGTACCATCTGGTGACGGCAACGTTCTCGGAGCGCCAAGCCTTGTCCAGAACGGTAGCGAAAGCGCGAGTAAGGAGAGAGGCACCGAAGTAATCGGCGAGGGTGATGCGCTCACCAACCAGGTAGGTGTTGGCGGTGAGGTGCTTCTCGAGGACGGCGAGAGCCTTGTTGGCAGCCTTGGCAGCGTCTTCAACGTTCTTCTTGTTGTAGGAGTCAAGGCCCATCAGAGGGCGGTACCAGGCGCCGAGCTTGGGGAGGACCTCAGCGTTGACAAACGAGAGCCAGCGGAGGATGGCAGCGTAGTCCTGTTTGGTCTTGCCCAGAAGAGTGGTCTTCTCGTTCTGGGAGGTCACTTTGAGTCCAGTCAGTCTCAAGATGTTCAGGACCAGTAGTGGTTTGCAACGATGAAACAAGATCAATTCCATTTCGGAAATTTTCTGCCAAAAGGCGGGGTAACCAAAGAAATTCAGAGTTGTAATGTTATCAACACAGTAGTTCTGCCAGGGATAACTAGTAATAAAAAATTGCTCATCATGTAAAGGAATTGGGCATAATTGATAGTTAAAGGAGACGTTTCAGCAAATTGAGACATACCGTAGACAGCGATGGCGATGGACTCGGAGAGAGTGAAGCCATTGGCACCCTCGAACGCAGGGATCTTGCCGAGGGGGTTGAGCTTGAGGTACTCAGCAGACTGGTTGAAGGCAGCGGCGGAGTTGGCCTCAGTGTTGACCAGCTCGAGCTCCAAGTCGTTGCACTTGGCAGCGACGAGGGCGGCGATGGTCCGACCGTTCTCCTGTTTGAGTCACTCCGATTAGCCAGCTGTCCTAACCAGGGGAAGCAAGGCAGCTGGATAGATGTAATTCATCAAATCCAGGAAAATCAACTGAACTGAGTATCTAAAATAACACATACAGGAAGACCGTAAAGCTTTCCGAAGGCCATTGTGAGTGTGAGGTGTGGATGGGGAGATGCGGGAGGGAAAAGGAGAGGAAGAGGAGGAGGGGAAAGGAGAAGCTGTTCAAATAAAAACGACGTCTGAGGGGCTCTGGCGGAAAAGAACGACGAAATTTTGTGCGAATCAAAACTCGGCGTCGGCGATCGGAGGAACATTTGCTCGCTCACGTGATATGCCATCGAAAAACCTCAGGCTTGCCCAAGGACGGCAGAACAAGGATAGGCTGGGATTTCGACGGGGCGACCCACGCTGCTACAATTTCTCCCTCCCCCTTCGTACCTTGACAGTTGTCCTACGTCTTATTCAAGGCTCCTGCCAGCCACTTTCCTCAATTATGGCGTGTCAGAGGCCCAATTGTATCGTTCAGGCGGTGCAGTCGGTCCGAACAGCTCAGCTGCAGTCCATCCTCCGAACCTCCACAGTTGCTTCATGGGGCTCATTACAACCGCGAAAGGCTACGCGAAACTACGCAACCGAGGCCGAAACCACCGGTGGAAATGCCCTCCAGATTCGAGCAGCACCCGAGATCGATTTTTCCCAACTTACTACCCGTCCTGCTCGGGTCATTCCCGCATCACCCGCCTACTTCTCCGGCAGTCCCAAGTTCATTGATCATTTATTGAAGTTGGAACATGTCTGCGCCAAGTACGCATCGCTACCTACGGTATCCCCGAGCGAAGCGCCTCGAATGGCATGGTTCAAACTTGCACAGTTCCGCGACTTCGTCGGCGAGCCGGTACCGACGAAGAAATACAAGAGCCTGATCAAGATTCTGCAGCGACTCAATCGGATTGACCCTGCCCTTCTTCCCGAGGAAGCCCGCAACACCATGAAGACCTTTCTTCGCCCGGGTAACCCCTACGGAAATAAGCCGGCGCCGGCGACGGTGGACGAGATGGGCCGAGCTCGCGGCAAGGGAAAGCGCAAGACCTCTTCGGCGGTGGTCCACTTAGTCGAAGGCGAGGGTGAGGTCATGGTGAACGGCAAGACGCTGACGGAAGCTTTCCCCCGTCTGCACGACCGTGAGAGTGCAACTTGGCCGCTGAGATGCACGTCGAGGCTAGACAAATATAATGTGTGGGCCACTGTTCGAGGAGGTGGAGTCACTGGCCAGGCAGAGGCCATCACATTAGCCCTTGGACGAGCACTGCTCGTCCATGAGCCGGCGCTAAAGCCGATTTTGCGAAAAGGTACGTCACAGATGAGACCAGCTCGGTGGGTAGTAAAGAATGTTGCTAACGGACAATTTTCTAGCTGGTGTCATTACCGTCGATGCTCGTCGCGTCGAGAGAAAGAAACCCGGTCACGTCAAGGCTCGCAAGATGCCAACCTGGGTCAAGAGATGAAGGCATGTTTATTCTCTCTTGGTCCTGGAGTGCTGTCTGTTCTTTTCACCATCTACTGTTCTTATTTCCCCGACCTGTATTATTCTCTCACTTGCCATCTTGATTCTTGAATGAATATACTTCCGAATCCTCCGCATCACCATGGGGTGTCATGGTGGTTTGTTTCAAGACAAGACACTTGCATGGGTGGTCTCGGCGACAAGCAATGTACCTTAGTTTGACTCTTATCAGGCGTTACCCTCAGATGACATTGAAATCGATTGATTAGAATTGCGGATAATCCCTGAACAAACACTGAGAAGTCATGTAATGGCCGGCAGCAAGAACTACCTACCAGTTAGTTGGATCGAACCGACCCCCAGATATGCTCCCGTCATCGACTTGGCTCTGACTCCCGATTACTGAAATCAAATCAATGCACAGTAACCAAGTGGATTCTATCTTCCCGAGTCTCGGTCCCAATTCCAACTCAAGCCCGAATGCAGAAAACCAAGCAAACCAATCGAAAGATCCAAATATGTAAAAAGCAACAGAAAGAGGCGCAGGGGTTTCCGCACGAGAGGGGGAGGATTGCGCGGACCTTGCACGAGACGGACCAGCCCTCTGCTGACAGGAATGAGAATCAACGTTACACAATACACACACTGCCGTTGAGCTCTCCTCGAGGTCGAGTCTCGAGTCTCGAGTCTCAGGTAGATGAAGGGATCGTGGGTCGCAGAGCCAGAGTCAGACTCAGATTCAGACTCGCAACTATTTATTGCTATTGGCAACGTGGCGCTGCGATCATCGTTCTGCTCGTTGAGGAGAAAGAGGGAGCCTGGATACTGAGAGGGGCGAGTGAGGGTTGTTTGGAGGAGGGTTGCACATTGCTGAGTCTGACTTTGTTCATTGTTGTCATCTCTTGGGTCAATTTGCAATGTTCCTGCCTATATATGACTTTATTTATGGATATAATAATAATCATAATGGCAGGCAGAAGCGATTCTTTATGATATGCTCTGGTGATGCTCAGTACATGTTGTTCGAGTCGTAAAGAGAAGACTATAGTACATTCTCCAGTTATATATCTTGAAATAAAGGGGCTGAGGGAATTCACAGGCATTGAGTAACAATCAATGGTTCGAGCCGATTGTATCGGTCGAGGTCATTGAAGGATTATTGCGATGCTCCATACCGAGTCGAAGTTGGTCAATTTATCGCTGTTGAGAAGCTGTGGACTAGATGCTTGCTTGGCTGCTTCGACACAGTCCACTCCATTCTTTCTGTAGATGAAAAATACTAGGATGAGATCGTTCCCCTGTCCCCGAAGAAAAGGCTATTATTGCTTTATTCTTTGTTTGTTATATGAAGTGATCTCTCGTAGCT